ACATTTGGTTTAATGGAAACGCGGATGCAACCTGATTCGTCCAATAAGTGATCATATTGTAACGATCTTGCATATAATAAATTCACGTTTAAATGGATGATAACGAGACTATTCTTTTCGTAAGCATAAAAAGGTCGTACGCGCTGTTTGTACGATTATAATTAACCGGCGCGTTCTTTCCTCTCAAACATTTTTTTTTCTGATACTCTCTTTCGCCGGTGAGTAATTAATCGCATGGCGCGCGAATGACGTTTTATTTAATTTCGTCATTATATCTGGCTTCAACCGTACGTACGTGGGGGAGAGCCGACAGTAATAATTAAAATCTTTCGGTTCGACAGCTCGCGCGTTGAACCGTGCGACGAGATGGGAACGTATTGTACAAGAGCGCAAAGGTTCAACGATGGAGGTTTGGTTTCATTAATATTTTTCATTCGAACAAAAAGTAGCGCTACGCTTTGCGTCCGTGTAATTGTGATGAACAACTATTTTTGTCTGACAAACCAGTTCGCACACATACGTTCACCGTTTATCCCGTATAATTGTCTCAGCTCGTATCGCCGAATCGTTTCGCAAACAGACTCGAACTTAATTTGCGAACTTAATAATAAATCCTTCGGATTAGCGAATATTAAAATGTTTTCTCGTCTCACTACTTCTCGTAAATTTGCCGTATATATTACGCATAAAATAAGTGAGTAAAAGACTCGCGACACTCAAAGTGTGTTTCATGCCTACGACTATATTACGTCGAATGCATTAGGCAGCATGCAAATGACTGTCGGCGCGATTTAATTGAAAATGTAATAATCCAGTTGGTTGTTAGCAAAGGCAAGATTAAAAAGCCGTCTCTAAAGTTTTCAGAGATTCTCACGAACGGGGTTCGCAGAGTTTACGAATTTAATATAAACGGTATCCCCTGGCATACACATTTGAAGATTAGAGTTTGCTCATGAAAGAAAATTGGTATGCGTATAATCGATGCAAATATCGTGTTTGTTTGATGTTCCGAAAGATATATATTTTTTTAACAAACATTTGGCTCTTTTGCGCTGATATTTAACAGTCTTTAATAAATAATTAATGGACACCTAAATGAATTCAGTATTCATAATTGATGTTTAATTGCAATTCTATGAATCTATGATTATTTTGCAATGTTCACTTTTCAAGAATTCATATCTTATAATTACTGATTATCTAGTCAATTGAACATTTATCTATGTAATATGTGATAATTAATCATTAACATGATTTCAATGTCGTCGAGAGATTTGATTATTCTATTATCTTTATACAACTAATTAATTGTATTATTTGTTTGTACAATTGGTAGATCATAGATATAAAATAAATCTAGAATAAAGATGTAAAATGCAACCTTACAATTAGTAATTAATTAGATATTGAAATAAGAATTTTCCTAGCTATATATTATAACTTTACTTAAAAAATCAATCATTCTTCGCAATGAATGAGAATCAACTATGAATACTAATGACAGATTTTTCAAACAGTGATTCGTAAAATAAAGACAGATATATGATAAATGAATAGGTATAATGAATTGCCTATTACATTCAAAATTAAATATAGTTTTATTTCCAAATAAATATCTAAATATTTAGTTATTCAAGATAAAAATTACAATAAATATTGTTATAAATTATAAACCATTTATTCTATTAATAAGTTAAACTAAACCACTTATGTGAATAATAATAATATAAAAATAAATATAGAAGGGGATCTAATATTTCTGTGTGAATAAAAATAATAACAAATGTTACATTCGCAAACAAATTCAATAAGTCTAATAACGGTCGAAGTTTAGTGACTAAAATATATGTACGATTTAATATAATAATTTCCATAAAAATTATATTTTAGTCACTAATTTGTTATTATTTATTCTTTTGCTTTTAATTTCGTACATTTATTCTGCCCATTACTTTCTAAGGTATTCGTTTGTTAAGATATTTTTTATTTTTGAAGAAATCTGTGCCGTGCATACACATCAAGGAAAAAGCCAAGTCAATGGCATCCATTCAATTAATTCGTCCTCTTGTTCGTTCTGATGAAATGTCAAGATACGACATCATTACTTCAGGATAAAGTAAAGATATGGAAAGGATGATACTGGAGTAGTTCTTGTTTCCTCGTACAACGTATCTACAGATACTCTCATCCCAGGCTTGGATATCATCAGATCAGATAAGTGCGCTTCCGTTGTATAGAAGAATTACAGACCGGGCGCGAAAAAGATGAATCAAGCCTCGCAATGCCTTCTATTTGACATACAGTATGTTTCAAGTATATCGTTTGTGGAAATAATGCCTATATCGCACGAGATCGGTAGAAGTATCATGCTGGAGGAATACTAATGTGATGAAAAGTCGCTTGCAATGCGTACGGCGAACACATTACATGAATAGACTAACGAGAAAGATATATGTATAATGAGATATTGATGTTGCCACTATAATTACGTTATTATATCAAACTTATAGCTGCTGAAATTTATTGTTTTTTACTGTAAGAAATCAAACTTAATATCACCCAGCGGAAATTGTTTATCTCTCTGAATCTAAAGATACGATAGTCTCGCGAGCCTCGTTTATGATTATTTCTCACTTTCTCTCTCTCTCTCTCTCTCTCTCTCTCTCTCTCTCTCTGAAGATAAAAAAGATGTAGTTTATTGAAAAAACGTCATCTAATCACATCGATGGAAATCGATAGATACTGTTTGATGCACGTCAAAAATCTGTGAACTCAAATTAATCGCACAATCCTATTCCGATACTGCTGCTAATTAGTGTAGCATTAAGCACGGAGATTCGAGTCCTTATCTTCGAGTACGTAATGCCGCGATGCATATATGCGTTAACGTTGAGATGTCACGCGTGCACGCGCACGTGCGTGTATATGCACACATCTGCTTCGATAGCTAGAGTTTGAGACGATTATCAGGTGCGTATTTGGAGTAATGTGCGTGGTCCGGAAGCTCATGCGGTCGGTAAACTCTCCAAGCTATCTCAGATATCCTCTCTTACTCGTTATGAAATGACAAACGATTAAACGACTGAAATTTCTGCAACACGGTTTGCTGATTAAAAATAAAATGTTTAATTAATTTTAACAATGTATTAACGTATGCAAACGTTAAAAGGAATTTAAAATATTAGCTTTTAAAATTTTTCCTTATACAAAATATATTTTGATGTGTCATCGAAATCCATATTTGATTATACCTGAAAGGAGCGATTTATTTATGGTAATATCGTTATTTACAAATACATAAGTTATTGCGTCTTAAAGCATGCTTGCGTGAAATTCGATCGAAGTTTATTTCATGTATTATATATAGATACAATAGTTTTGATTTTCACGATAAACGAAAAATCAAAAGAAAAATCTTTGCTGCATGGAATATCTAAGGTACATATATTTATTCATATGCTTAAAGAGTAGAGTCATATGAGGCAAATGGTAATGTATTAATCTTTTAAATACGCGTCAAACATGCACAGACATGATGGATATGTATACTATCGCAATCGACGTTATCAAAATTCCGCGCCGCTCTACGCTCGATACCTTGGTCTGATATCGCGGACGCAACCATCCATACAAATCGGATCTTACTAAATTGGAGTACAATTTTCACGAGCGAAGTTCCACGAGCTCGAGCTACGAAGGTAGGATAAGAAAAAAAGAGAAGGGGTGGTAAGATAAAGTCTCTATCCCTCTCTAAGCCGGCCGTGGAAGATGAAGCGAATCAAGTAACAGCGGTGGCTTACGTGCGATGCACCCCTAAACCATCGCTGAGGGAGCATCACGTGGAAATGCGTTACCCACGAAAGATCTGTGCTTAGAATTCTCAAACTCGCTAAATTATATTTCATGTCACGGAGCCGATGATTCTTGAAATACATAAGCCGCGATGATAATCTCATTTCGTTAGTCGTGTTCGGCAGTGTCGCGACGTCCTTCGTACTTCCGGAAATTTATAATGATGGAAAGAAATACAGAATTAATGACGCATGTTTATAGGAGAAAAAAAACATATTTGATCAAGAAAACATATGTTTTGAAATATTGAAGAGAAATTATGTTTACAATTACTACATACAATTTATATTAAAGGAAAAAATTATACGTTAATCAAGTATACACTGAGAAAAAATGTATTATATTTTAATAATTATTTGATTAGTAGTTAATATTTACTCATGATCAAATATTTATACTAAATAAAAAAGACGTAAATCGTATGTTTTTATTATAAATTGTATATGTATATGTAAATTACATTTAATCGGTAAAACGATTCTATCGGAGTTTAGTTATTGTCCCCTTAAAATGCATAAAATTGTCCATATCTTTCAAAAGGTAGATAGACAATATTTAACAAATTTTTATATTATATATTAATGTTTCAATGATATAAAAGTGTACA